AACTCACCCGAACGTGAGAATTCTATCGTGTCCTACACGACACTTCGACCCGAATCGGCAGGCAGTGGTGGTTGTATATGCCAGTGATTGGGCGATCTCCGGTGCATTGATGCAAGAATATGATCAGATCGACTATCCAGTGATGTTCGCGAGCCGCACGTTGAAGCCCAAAGAATTAAATTAAAGGATCGCGGAGAAAGAGGTGTTGGTATTGTTGCGGATCCTGGATCTCAACTATAATACTTTAGCTGGGAGACCAATCCGAGTGCTGACGTGGCATTCTACACTGGCTTGGTAATTTAGATCCAATGTACTACAAGGTCGCCTGGGGCAGTGGGCCACGCTGCTCTCACCCTGGATCCTCGAGATCGTCAAGTGTAACAAGGGCGAGGATACGATCCTGGGCACATTAGCAGCGAGTATCACTCCCAGATCCGATGTCGACAAAGCGCTGATCTCGATCGCCCCGAACAAAGAGCCGAGACGTAAGATCCAAGCCCCGACCCCGACAGTGAGATCGGATGAAAATCTATATGTCGCTAGCTTTGACGGATCCGCCCGTGTCAAGCGAGGTGGAAGCGCCTACAGGGTGATCCTGTGGAAATTACCTGAGTGAACTGTGGTGAAGGCCAGATCCGGATATGCCGAGGGCCTAACTGTTAATGAGGCCGAATATCACGGCCTTTTGTTATGTCTCGATTTGCTGGAAGGGACGGATCCGCTACGATTGATGATCTGTGGCGACTCAAACCTGGTGATCCGCCAAGTTAGAGGTGAGATCGACAGCAAGGCGGCTGGATTGACGTTATTAAGACAAAAGGCGTTGGACAAATTGCGGATCCGGCCGGATCATGAGTTGGTACATGTGGAACGGGATTGGAACGGAAGTGCAGATAGCCTGGCTAGCGCTGCATTGCAACGGCAATGTGGGATCGAAGCGATAGCGAGATTCAAGTTCTGATCACATTGAATAGGCTGGATGAGATATTGGTGGTATAAACGGGGGATCCGGCAGTGCAGATCTCGCCGTTACTACTAGATCGAAGGCCAAATCCGGCGTGAGATCGTGATCCAACCGCCCGGTATTGGGGGAAAAAGTAATCAGAGAGCTCAGGATCGAGCAGATCCGGCAGGCACAGGACGAGGAGGTGTGGATCCACCATTTGAAGAAGTACCTGGTTGGCGAAATACGCGATCTGACACAGGAAGAGGCCAGATCTGGCGGATCCATCGCTATGAATTATGAAGTGGATCAGCACGATCTCCTTTTCTATTGCCCCACTACAAAGGAATCGGCTGCGGATCGGGACAAATTGATGCGACTGGTGTTACCTGAAACGTTGCATCAAGATATCCTACACCATTATCATACCAGCCTCCAAGGCGGACATCAGGGGATCGGCCGTACTTACGATCGGATTTGGGATCATTTTCACTGGAGAGGATTGTACCGAAGTGTACAAAGGTATGTCGGGGGGATTGCGAGACTGTAAAAGGGCGACCCCGAATCCAAGGCGAATCGCCGGGTAATCTTCAAGCGACATATCCATTTCAGATCATCGCTATGGACCACATCTCTTCGTTGCCCAGATCCTATAAAGGTAACACTGAGCTATTGATCTTCAAAGATCTCTTCTCGATATATGTGATCGCCAAAGCGAGCGGATTCAGGACGGCTCAGACTGTGGCCGAATCCTACGAAGAATGTGTGTTCCGCCGATTTGGTGCCAGCGAGGTGATCCGCCATGATCGTGAACCCGGATTTATGTCCGATTTCTTTCGCGCGTTTAATAAGATCCTGCATCAGCGTCAACGTGCAACAATGGCGTATAGACCCCAGGCGAACGGATCCGCAGAAAGGATGGTACAGACTACCACAAGGGCACTTAAGATGTATGTCCAGGATCTGGGTCAGCGAGATTAGGACGAGTATGCGGAGCGACTTACATTCGCGATCAACACCGCCCGGGATCGGATCCGCGGAGAGACGCCGTTTTATATGGTCCATGTTTGGGATCCGAGATCCACACTGGAGGCGGTGATTCCGATGGAAAGTAAAAGTAGACAGATCGGGATCCGCGGAGATGGCGATATCGGATCCAGAGGCATTACCAACAGGCACGAGAGCAGGTGAATCAACGCTTACGGGAGGTGATCTCAGATCGGGCGGATCAGCACAATGATATAGTGCACCCGCATCAAGTTGAGGTCGGATCCCGAGTATGGTTATACTTGGATCGGGTGCGAGAGGGATATGCCAAGAAGCTTGCGCATCTGTGGCATGGCCCTTTCCGTGTGGCCGAAAAGATCGGCGAGTATGCAGTGAAATTTGAGATCGCCGGGTCCGCGTACAATATCTTCCCCGTAATCCATGTGGCAAAGATCAAACCCGTCAGAGAGTTTCCGGATCGGCCGGAAATACGCCTTATGACGCAGGATCAAGATCGTCTGGATTTCGACGAAGCACTCCTTCCTGGAGATATCTGGATCCAAGATCGCGATCCGGACGAGTACGAGGTTGAGAGGATCTCGGATATGAAGACCGGCAGGAAAACAAGATATGGCCGGATCTTGCGTGAAATTTTAGTACACTGGCGTGGGTACGAGGATCGGACCTGGATCGATGAGGCAGATCTCAACTGTGGGGCAATACTTCACGAGTTTTTGCGGGATCGCGCCAATCAGAACCGGTTTAAGATCCGCATAGGTGAGTTGGTCGCCAATGCGGAAGGTTGAGATGAAGGATCTGCAGGAAGGCTGCAGATCGGAGGAAGGTAGGTGCCCATGCGGGAAGTTTGAGATGAAGGATCTGCAGGAAGACAGGTACATATTTGGATATATCACAATGTGCCGAAATCTGCTAAGGTCAAGATCCGAGATATTAAGGAGGCGGATCACGGAGTGTGGACTCTGCACAGAATAAGTGGGGAATGATCAGTGGAACGAACGGAAGAGAAACATATATTAACGGAAAGATCACAGATCTGTTAGAGCGGCAGATCCAGCGGGTACTTCAGGATCGGCGGGCGTACCGGGATCCGTGGGCGAGTCGTGTCGGGCGCTCTCCATGCCAAAGAACTTCTCCACCAGCCGATGGGTCCGATGCGCAGGGTGATCCGCCGCAGAAGTGCGGTAATGATTTCGCCAAGGATCCGCTTC